TTGTAATAATAGCCAATTAGAAAGCTGTAGCTCGAAATGCTACATCTTCGTGCCCAAATATGGCATCCTGTTGTTCAGCGCTTACTTCGGTTCCTCATCCACCTAAAGCTCTCCGCTTCTTACAGAGTTGGGCGTCTTGGGCCCTAAACGGTTTTGTATTGATTTGTGGCGTCTGCTAAGGATGCTGAAGGAGGGGTGGGAGTAGATAGAGAGGCTGACTCAACGTCCCACCATAAAATGCCAAATCCTCGGAATTTTTCCTACAGGCTTCCACATTCGTAGGGGACGTTGCCAAATGTATCTACATCGCAAACAAAATGCTGCATATGTTTAAGCTGAAATTAATCACTTAAAAGTCAAACTCCCAGCTTAGACAAGAAAAAAATCGGATCTCGTTAGTCATCTGCGCGATATGAAGACGATGAGTCCACCATGAAAATGAAAATACCGATGAATTTTTCGACACATAACAAGAATAATTTCTTATTTGTGGATTTATATATTGATAAATAATTTTAAAATGCATGAAGCTGGCCATATTATTTAGAGAACACAAAACGTGAAACAGCTAAAATGGTGTGAACGTCATCTTTCCAAACGTATTTATAATTTTGCAAAAACGCCTGCGGAGAAGCTTATTTAACAAAATATTGAATAATGATACTTTATAACCTCAATAGAGTCGATCTGCACATTTGCTCTCAAATAGCTATCACTAATTAAGGGGTATCAGAAAACCCTATACCGACAATGTTAAATTGGCCATTTTCGATGTAGCTTCTCTCAAAATCTGCTGTAGATGCAAGCTTGAAATTTTTTCTGTAATTAAAGTATACCTATCTGATTATACTGAAATGAGATTTTGAAGCATTTTGAATTTTAGAGTAAATTACAGAATATTTTGTTAGGCATAGTAAAATTTAGCACTTTTCTCCCACAAAAAAAATTTAAAAACTTTTTTCTTAAGTTTATTACAAAAAGCTCATTTCAGTAAATATTTGGGAACCTAATAAATAGGCCATAAAAAGTTTAGATACCTGTGAGCACTAGTTCCTGAGAAAAGGTACATCGAGTATAAAAAAATCACGTTTGGAGAAAAACGCGTTTTTAAGTAAAAATCCTCATTGATCAAAGCAGTAGATGACAAATTAAAACTAGATTTTTTTTACAGTTCTAATTTTCATAGAGATTAAAGAACGGTATTTTTAGAAAGATAAAAGTGTAGAGAATTTGAAAATGCAAAAATCCGAAATCATAATTTTTTGAAGATTTTGGGGTTCCTACACCCCTTAACTAAATAATTCTTAAACATTTCCTTTTATATTGCACATTTAGCACTGGTTGCTCTTATTAATTATATTTACATACATAAAAATTTACTACAGATGTATATGAAATTCTATATTCTTGATATGAAGGGAATAAATAATGAACTTAGATTGTGGAGACATTAGGATTTTTTTGGATGCAGGCAAGATGAAAAATGAGCAATCACCTTCGCCGTGAATCGAACCATGGATCTCTGGAATACCGGCGCAGCGTGCAGAACCACTACACCACGAAGGCACGCTAAGAAGGTGGGATAAATGCCTTAAAAGATCTTTTAATCTTACATGTGAAGTTTTGCTTTAAAATGCTTGTTTTAAAAATGTAGCCATTTTAAATTGGCTTAAAAATTCAAACTAACTGTAAATCCTATCATTTTCCATGAAACACATTACTTAGTCTTGTATAGAACAGCATAAGAGTCTTCGATATCCCATTTTGTTGGAAATCCGAGTATATCATTTAACTTCGCAAACTTTTAACTGCTTCAGAACCCTTACGCATTAAATAAACATTCGAGTGACACATAGTCTATATGTTGTATACATTAGATACTGTATGCTTACTATACTCTAGGCTAGAAACTAGATATTGTTACAGAGGTTATGAAGGATGTATATTTAAAATACTGTAGTATAATTTATCTGTTCAAACTTTGACCTATAAGATGTTTACAAGCTTTTAAGGTTCAATTTTTGGCTGCTTTTATATTATCCCAAACAAATATTGTAAACGTTACATATTTGTTTCTAATATTAAACATTTAAAATTCGAAGATTTGTAACAGATTTGTGAATAATTTATGACAGTAAAGGATAAAAAAATGCACTGGTATTCATATATATAGTTTTTCTAGGAATAAATGATTCATTTTGGTAAGGCACCGATAGTCGTGTATTCAGATCACGCCACTGTGGGACGACTATACTCCGGCAAAAACTACGACTAGGAATGAATGGTAGAATTTCAGGAGATCTTTGTGAAGTATGCATTAGAAGAATCGGTTTGAAAGTTTTTTTTTATTTAATTTATACACTCAAAACGATCACGAAGCAAATTCAGAAGTTTCAATATATGTATCTTTTAATAACACCACAGATATCATAGCGATACCCAGTTGCGGTTTGTGATGACTTCGTGGTTTAACAAGGTACCACTTAACAAGACGAAACAAACATTTATTAGGAAATAACGTTCAAAGCGTAATAGTGAACTCAGAGCAGTGCGTCGCTCCTACAGCATAGAAAAATCTCCAACCTTCCTCTCCTGAGGCTAATAACTCTCTTAAAATACATTAACCCTTCTTGGAGAAGAGCTATATGCGCCAAGCACGCTCTGTTGATCGCCAAACAGTCGCCAAATATCACACGGTTCATGGTCGGAAAAGAATGTCTGTTGTAGTGCTTGAAATTGCCTAATACGTTCCTCGAGATGGTCAAGATATCAGTTCTTTTAAACTTTAATTTTGACAAAAGAGACAAAAGAAGAAGTCTTGTAGAAGATTAGGATTTCTTTCAGACCACGGATAGGACTAGTTCTACCAATCCACCGTCATTAATTCGCAATAATCATTCACTGGCAACTCGTGTACACAATAACAAATAATCCTTGTGAAGGATCGAAACCAAATACATAAAAAACTTCCAGCCCTTTTCAGGTACTACATCTTTCACGGAGAATTTTGGTCTGGTGTAACTCTTGAAACTGTTTAATTCTTTCATTGAGAGGATGAAGATTATCACTTTATTTTTTCACAAATGGTAAGAAGAAGTCTTGAGGCAGATCAGGACTTCTTTCATACCACGGCTAGGTCCCATTTAACCAGTCCGCCACCATGGAAATTCACAATAATTGTTCATTGACGACTAATGTACCCAATAACAAATGCCTATAATCACTTTGACTAACTGAAACCACTTGCATAAAACCACTTTCAGCCTATTTTAGGTACTACATCTTTCACAGAGAATTTTGGTCTGGTGTAACACTTGAAACTGTGTAATTCTTTCATTGAGAGGGTCAAGATTATCACTTCATTTTTTCACAAAAGGGAAGAAGAAGTCTTGTGCAGATCAGGATTTCTTTCATACCACGGATAAGTCCCACTTAACCAGTCCACCAGCGTCGAAATTCACAATAATCGTTCCTTGGCGACTAGTGTACATAATGACAAATGCCTATAATCCCTTTGACTAACTGAAACCACTTGCATAAGAAGAAGAAGAAGTCTTCTTCAGATCAGGACTCCTTTGATACCTTATGACTAACTGAAACCGTATGCATAAAACCATTTTCAGCCCATTTCTGGTACTACATCTTTCACAGAGAACTCTGGTTTCGTGTAACTTTTGAAACTCTTTCGACAATAGGTGTGCGTGAAAAGCGTCTGGTGCATGGATTGAAAATGTGTATTTTCTTGAGATAGTCCGGATTATCAATTATTTCATTGTAAACTTCATTTTTTATCAAACGAAAAAACGTAGAAGCCTTGGGAAAGCTCGGGACTTTTTCGGATTACAGAATAGGACCAATTCTAACAATCCGCCTTCGTAGAAATCCCCTATAATCGTTCATTGACGATTAGTGCATACAATAACAAATGCATAGAATACTTTTCAGCGAATGAAACTACTTGCATAATAAAACCACTTTCAAACTATTTCAGATACTACATCTATAAGATATTTCTCCTGCCTTCTTAGCGATCTTTCGTGGTGTAATAGTCTGCACGCTCAGCGCGTTAATAATGGGTCCGCGGCTCGATTCCCGACGAAGGCGTTGCTAATTTTTCATCTTGCATGCTTCCGAAAATACCTAATGTCTGTATACATCTTCCAGAGAGATTTAATGAAATCTTTTTTATTCATTCTCGAAAACCATGTATTCATGACATACGTTACTTTTCTTCCTATATTAAATGTTCTAGCGCAGAAGGGTAAAGCGCTCTTTTGCGGGATCGAATCAGAACCGTTCGCTCACTTAAATGAATCGATTATTTTTCATGAATCACCACTCCCTAATAATAACTTGGATGAAAAAGATTCGGAACGAGTGGTGAATCAAGAGCAGTTAGTGAGGATGGAACGAAAAGCGAAAATAATAGAGCGCTTTGGAATCGGAAACAGGGATTCGATCAAACGCTAACTCCCTTAACTGATTTCTTTCAACTGTATCTTTGATATTTCCTAAAAATTTCTTTCTACATAGAACTGACAATAAAATTCTAGAACAAAAATTTTTCAAAAAGCTGAGAAATTATAAAAAAAATAGAACTCACTTGTAGTATAAGAGGGTAAACATTATATCCCCCCCCTCTAAAATGAATCGAAATTACCTGATACACTTCCAGTAAGAGCTCTGCTCTTTTTTCGCAAGTCAGACATTCGCTTGTTCAATAAATTTAATCAGTTCGTGAATAAATAGCAGACTTTTATTTTTGGCATGCTTCCAACAAGAGCTGCGCGTGAACTGTAAAGCAGCTACAATTGCGTTTTCTAGAATCCGAGTAAATTCGCTCGGTAAAATGAATCGATTCTTTGAATCAGTTTCGGAGCGGATTGTCCAACTCTAATTTTTAGGCTGCATTTTTTCCAAATTGTCGCAAACAGTCTTCAAATACTTTTTCAGTACAATATATCACTGTGAATCTTCCTTAAGAATGTTGCAGCGACTATATGGCTAGACCACTGGTAATTTGACCCGCGTTTGATTCTCCCAGCTAACGGGTTATTTACAGGGTTATCAAATTAAACTTCCCCAACTCAGAGGCCTGTGCAGAGTGCTGTATGGGTAATAATGTCATGAAATTTTAAAAACAGACACTTCACATCATGCGCTCGAGATTTATTAAACAAAAAAAAATTAGTACAAGAAATTGTCGATAGGTGGCGCTGCAGATCAACAAGATGTTCTATATGTGTGCCTTGGTTCTCCACAACTCTTTCCATTCGCAAAGCAGTGTGTTCCACAGCGGAACGCAGTAAGTCCACATTAATTCCACGAACATGTCAAATAATTGCGTCTTTCAGATGTGCCAGGTTGTTGGGTGTTCTCGGTAGACCCGATCCTTTAAGAATCCGCATAACCAAAAGTCGCATGGCGTGAGATCGAGCGATCGAGGAGGCCAAGCTGTAGGGAAATAGCGGCTGATCACATTTGCATCGGTAAAAGTTGCCCGTAACACCTGTTGAACGCCACGAAGAATATGGGGAGGCGCACCATCCTGCATAAATATCGTGTCCTGGAGGCGGCCACGTTGTTGCAGTTCAGGGATGACAAACGTTGTCAACATGTCCTGATACCGTTTTTCTGTGACAGAGCAGGTTTTGAACCCTGTTGGAGTCACCTCTTCAAAAAAATAAGGTCGAATAACGAATGTTGCAGTGAAACCGCACCATACAGTAACCTTTAGAGGGTTCAAGGGCACTTGATGGATTGTGCGCGGGTTTTCACTTGTCCAAATGCGGCAGTTGTGCGTATTCACTTGACCATTCAGATGAAAATGGGCCTCATCCGTCCAAAGGATCTTCCACGGCCAAGCAGCATCGACTTCCATTCTGGCAAGGAATTGCAACGCAAATGTTCCCGAACTACAGGATCCCCGTCGGACAGCTGATGACGGCTATGGATTTTGTAAGAAAATAACCGAGGATTCGACGCATCACACGCCAGACGGTCGTATAGGGCATATCAACAGCACGAGAAACAGTTGGCACACTGACAACACCATGTGGCGATTGGCTAGTGGGGTCCACGACCGCCAAAGCAATGTCTTCTACGCGTGCAGATTCCACAACCTGTCGTCCTCTACCTGGTAAACTTCCCAGCTGTCCCGTTCTTTCGAACTTCTTCATCATGTCTCGTAGAGCACGTGGTGTCATTGGTCCTCGGCGTAAGATCTTCAGCCGACGAAATGCTCTTATCGCAGCACAGGAGTTCTCGTCATTCTGGTAGAAAAGTTTCACTCACAGAGCTTTGTCTTTCAAAGTCGCCATTGTGCATCAGCGAGCTGGAAACAACTGCCTGTGCAAGGCCTGTCTTCCACTTTTGTAGGGCTCGTCTTTTGGATATGTTGCGCAGAAGCTTTATTTCTGCAAATCACGTTGCTGCAATATACACATTACTAGTGTTACAGCGCCACCTATCGGCAACTTCTTGTACTAATTTCTTTTGTGTAATAAATCTCGAGCGCATGATCTGAAGTGTCTGTTTTTAAAATTTCCTCACATTATGACCCATACAACACTCTGCCCAGGCCTCTGAGTTGGGGAAGTTTAATTTGGATAACCTTGTATATGGGTGTCTTCTGTTTTTCTCCGTATGTAACACAAATACGATCCAGTTTCTCATAGAAAAGCCTAACCAAACTACAGCTTTCAGCTTAGGCAAATAATCTTTATTTATCGTAATTTAATTATGTTTTCAGTAGTGCTTCCTGAGACAACCACTTTCAAAGGTGGTGCTGTAAATATCTGAATGCTTTTGATTATACCGTTGATTTCATTTATTCATTTGTCCATTTGTTACATTTTAGGTAAACATTTTAGGGTGTACTATTTGGGATAATTGAGTTTGCGACTATGTATTTTTCATATACGTGCTTATTCTTGTTATATAATTTTAGATCTTACGATTATATATGTAACAACATTTAAATTTGAAAACTACATCAATTAGAACACAAAATATAGGCAAAAACGTTTTCTGGAAACTTTCAGGAACTTTGCCAACCCTATATATATGTTGTGTGTGGTTACATTTCAGGCAGTTAAGTGGTGAGTTATTTTAGTTATTACTATGGTTCAAATAGTTAGCTGAGTTTATTCTGGGAGGTCTTATCGGCAGTCTGCGATATTTCTCGTGTTTTAAGAGAGAATATAGCTTGTGTCTGTGTTCTCCTGGAGTTTTTTACAACTGTTATTTTTACTGTTTTTTTCATTATTTGTTGCTGTAAACTGTGTATTTCTTCCTGCTCAATTTAAATGATTATTTGGAGAGATGTTCCTGTACCCGTACTTCACAACAATACCAACAGCATCAACGTTAAAGATGATGCGTAGGATAAGTTGTTTACTTTTTCCTGTATTTTAAACTACACTCCCACTTGGGACAAAATATTTCCAATCTCTGTCGAAAGTCACACGTCCACTCGCCGGTTGAAATGGAATAAGATATGAAATGTTTTATTCTGGACACACACACGTACATATATACATACACAGAGTGTGTATCTAAACCACAAATATTTCGAGAGAAAGAAAGAAGAAAAAGAGCCGACGCTCTGGTGCTTTTTATTTTCGTGAATGGAAGCTCAGCGCATTCTCTTTGAACTGCGTATGCAGCGAATTGTTGGAAAAAGAAATGCCGGACCTTTCAAATCGCTATTTATTTCTATTCCTGTTTTCTTTTGCTTCAGGGCGTTTTTCACGTTGTCCACGAATTCCTTGCACTAAAATATGGAAGAAAACCTCAAGAATTTCAATAGTTTTGTGTCACTAGGATCAACAATACAACTCACTTACGATCCGTGAATAGTTTTTTAAAATCAACGCATTCGCTAAAGCTAATTTCAGTGAATATTAGCATAAAAAAATCTGATGTGTACACACACCACATGACTTCCTTGTACGGAATATTAAATTATACGGAATTTTTGCTGCATTTCATTTCAGCTTATTTCCTCGAATTTCATTAGAGATATATTTCTCATTCATTTAATCCAGTTCTCACTTCGCGGCAAGGCAAAAATACCTAAACACTCAAAATACTTTCATTAAAAATTGAAATATATAGAAAAACATAACACATAAAAAACAGTTAAAACAATTAAATATAATAAAACAATCAATCATTAAAAATCAATTAAAAACCAATTTTTACAATTGACTTCTACGCAAAAGCAAGCAATTCGTCCAGCAGGCAAGAAGACAGATTTTTCGATGCACAAAACTAAAACTTTCCTTTCGGTCCCACTCCGCAAAAAGGCACTGAAGGTGCAGAAAGGCTTAATTCACTGCTTTGCTCAAATATAAACAAGTTTCAAATGTAAACCAATAAGGCTGCTATGGTAAGAAAAATTAGGCTTAACCGCTTTCAAGCATCTTTTACATTGTTGATAATTCTACAACTATTGCATGCAGATTAACTAATGGCATAAAAACCTTAACCGGGAGATAAGAACAATTCATTAATTTTAAAGCAAAACATACACAATTTACCAGCATAAAAGAATTAAAAATAACTGAGCTCACCAAGCCGAGTAACAGAGGTGGCGGCCGATTGCAACCAAAACGAGAGGTGCACAACTGCATATTATAGCAGTCCTATATACAAAATTTGAACTTTCTGAGGCTAATCGTTTTTGGTTTATGCGAAATACATACATATATACGTACACGTATGTACAGACGCCACAAAAAAATATCTTCTGAATCCATTTTAAATCAGTTTTATAATTCGTTTTAGGGAATAGAGTCCCTTATTCCATCCTTACATAGAGACATAGGGATAGAATAAGGTTAGAAACATCGTTAAATTGCATTCGATAACGGTTAAAATGGATATTTTTGTTAAAATATGATACCCAGAATTTTTCGCAATTAGAATACTTCCTTTACTTCGTACAAGGATGTAAAAACTAGATTTTCTGAAATGCGTGTTAATCTAAAAATACTCTGCTACCTTAGGATTAGTTTATTAAATCACAAACAAACGGTTCTTGTGGTAAATTTCATTGCATAAAAATAATACTATAAAAAATTTAGACGCTATAAAACGATTTAACGATTTTATGAGAATATTTAGATAACATGTTAGAGTCAATTCCTGATTAAATGGTAGAGTATTAACCGGAATGCGTATTAACCATACCCTGCTTAAAACGCTAACTTTCCCGGAACGATGTAGCAAAGAAAATTTTAAAAAGCAAAAAAAAAAACCATTCCTTGAATACTAGTAATGGTAGCTGATATCATATTACTTTGGAGATGCTTCACCCGCAATGTGTAATTTAATCGCACTTTATCCGGAATATACGAGGGTTATCTAAATGGTACAAGTCAAATCTTTTCAAATCTTAAAAGTCTTATAAAGTCCGGTATTCTTAAGAACCTTACACTGCCTACTCGAAAAACACTATAGAAGAATTACCTTCAAGTCTTATGATAAAAAGCAAGAAAGTCAGAAGAAGGACGTATTCCCTTTGATTTCAACACAAAGAAATAACAATGACCCAACTTGGGTTTACAAAAGTCAACACTTCGGGCTTAACTTAAATAAGTAATGTTGAACTAAAATCAAATGTAGTAAGATAAGCCTAACGGCTCATAGGATAAAGTAACTCGCAGAAAAAGGCTCTGGTTTGTAGAAAACCGTCGAGACAATTTTAATGGCTAGAATCACTCAACACCACAGAATTAAATCTGTATTAAATCACGGTAGCAACGTGATCTCAAATAAACAGGACACGCTCTAAAACTTGCGAAATCTTCACTTAAATAGTACTTATTTCTCCCTCAATCTGAATAAACACGTGCTATGTCATTTATATTCTGGCATGAAAAGCGTGGGTGAAAAGAGAGGGATAGAAAAGTACATTAACTTAAAATTAACTATTAGTTAAAAATAAATAGATAAATCCTCACAGTCTTAGAAGTGTTCCAGATCTTAAGAGTGTTCAAAGCAGTTGTCTCCAACGTGGATGTAGTTCTACGCATTAAATGCTTGAAGTCATCGATTTCTTGGAATGAAGAATATGCTTTTATATCCTTATCATTATCAATCTTCGGAATGAAAACGAGCAACACTTAAATTTCGTTTCAGATTAAAATGTTATTCAGATTAAAATATATTCAGATTAAAAAATCACACATAGCAAGATCTGGGAAATAGAGTAGATGTCCTATCATTTTAATGTATTTTTGTTCAGAAAAATGTTTAATGTATTTTCTCAACTGTAATTCTTGCTGAATGACGAGGTGTATTACCTTGGTGATGTAAGAGTTCCCTAATTTTTCACTTCTTAAAGAATTTCTGGAAGACACTTAGTCGTGAACCAGTTAGCTGTAACTGTCTTCTGTATCTCTCTAACTTGGTGGATTTGTGCAGTCTTGCGCACTTGAAGAAAACGGCATGCATTATTGTTTTCATTCTCGGTGCCTTTTCCCATTGTTGGTTGTGGTCATCTTCAGAAATCCATACTTTACTTTTTTGACGTGTTGAAGTGGCAAAAAACGGTGTATACGCTTCATCATCACTTATGATTTTAGAAATAATGCAGTGTCCATTGCAATAAGTAAGTTTACGGTTTTTTATCTTATTGTGACGCAGCCCACCAGCGGCCGAGCGGTAAAGACGCTGAACACTGGTAGTTCGGTCCGAGGTTCGAATCCCGCGAACGGGCTGGCTGCATGGGCGCTTTCGTGGTTTTCCCAATGTGTAACGTGTATACGAGCCAGTTTCCCTTAAAAAGTCCTCCATGAAGGCATCCCTCCCTTTAGGCAAATAGCCCTCGTGTGCTTTGCCATAATTAAATAATCCAATCCTTATTTTGACACACTCCACATTTTGGTGTTCTGTTAATTTACCCGGAAGATCCAACGACAAACTATTTTTACTTCCTTGTACAAAGTAAAGGAAGTATTATAATCGCGAAAAATTTCGGTTATCATCTTTCAACAAAAATATACATTTTGACCACTTTCGAATCCATTTAGTGGCCTTTTTTGCCAAACTTCGATGAGTTTAAGAAATCTGTTACTTACTTTTCATTGCTAGAAAGACAAGCCTAGTTTTCAGAGGAAATTTCTTGATTAATAACTTCACTAAAAAGTATGTTTTGCGCATCCAAACATTCCTTGTAACTTTGATTCATAGTAATTACTAGAATAAATTTGTAGTGCGATATCTCTGTATGCCGTAAATTTCCTATGTATACGTTAAATACAGGTTATTTTTTGACAATACCCTTCCAATCAACAGACTGCTAAAGTGTTAATTTAGAAGTCCAACAACAAAAATCAGCTTTAATTTCAAATTAATTTAAAGTTTTAGTTTTGATAAAAAAAAAGTAGGCAGTCTTATTAGGCCTAGAGGAGTACACGAGTAAAATTTTGTGAAGATAGCACTTATCGTTTAATTCTGTGGGTGTGCCCAAAGTGGGCACACTGGTTGAATAGAGCTTCGAAAAGAGTGCTGAAACGAGCATTGTTGTCAATGAACTGACCGATGAGATACGGAGAAACAAAAAATACAGACTCTCAGTTGTCCTAGATTATCGGTGAGCCCGGTCTGGGCACACGTAGGGTTCGCCGTTTGATTTTAGGCAAGATTTCAAGGTAAAAATTTAAAACTAAGAACATGGAGATTAGCATACAGCCAAAAAAATAGCATAGAAATTACTTTTCAAACAATTCCTTTTATACCCAAAAACAAATCTGGAAGATTTCTTTGAAAAATGAGGTTCTTAAAAAACTAAACATGGCTAAAATATATGGACTGGTTTTTGTCATCTGCTATAAATAAAGAAGGTTCCGAGTAACCTATAGTTTCCTATAAATCCTTTTTCATTCAATTTTTCTGTGCGTACAGAAGGAAATTTTTAGGTGTGTCCAGACCGGACCCACTGTGCTGCAAAGGGTTAAGTCTTAGGTAGATTTCTCGTGGGGTATGTTACCAAAGATTACAAGACTCTATAAGGATTTGGTCTTTTAGGGAAATTAACGATTTTGTGGGAAATTATTTCTGTAATTTGAAACATTTTGCTTAATTAATTTAAGGCTTTTGCAGTGTTTATCGAATGTCTGTGCACGTATACTCTTGCAGCAAAATCTCTCATGGTTATAAGAGTAAAGTGCATTATTCACGTAAGGATGTATATATTCGCTTGACCGATTTCGTGATTTCGGGCTAAGTTCTAATGAGCTAAGTTCTAAAGAGACATACCGTATATGCTCCGCTCTCTGCAAATTCTTGTCTAAAAACATGCCTCTTTCTCAAATTCAATAATTTATTACCCTGGTGTTTCCCTTGTTGTAATTAGTCGCAGTCTCGAGATAGACAAGGGATTTAAAATCCTTCCCCTTCTCGCATAAACCTTTTAGCGACGCTTTCTAGATACTAATTATACTCCACAACAACAACGAAGAACCGATAAGACCTGTCTGAGAAAAGTCAATTGAGAGCAACTTCCCGTATTTTGTTGGAAATTGGAACTATGCAAGCTTCAAGAATCTGCCAATTCTTTGATTTATCGATTGGAACAAAGAATCGTTAAATGCCGTGAACAGTGAAAGATTAAGCTAGCAGAAGAGCCCCAGTAATATTGCAATGATCAGAACAATATTGAATGCCCGATGAAGATTAATAGAAACTCAACTGATAATTCTTTTATACGAAGTATTATTTTCAAATCATTAAAAATGAAAATGAGAAGAATATTTAAACGCTTTCAATACAGTATATCTTAATAAAGAACTATTCTGTGTTATCGAGTTATAAGCGCCAGTAGTTGGTGAAATATCTCCTTTATGCTTTTCGCAGATTTGATATTTTGGAAGAATTTGAACGCAGTCTTGATGCACGTTTTTAATCTTTATTTTATAATTGTTCAGTCTTGAAGGAGAGCTTAAACGTTTATAAGGTATTTCTCCTGCCTTCCTAGCGTGCCTTCGTGGTGTAGCGGTTCTGCACACTGGGCCGGTTTTCCAGAGGTACGTGGTTCGATTCCCGGCGAAGGCGTTTGCTAATTTTTCATCTTGCCTGCTTCCAAAAAATACCTGTCTCTACAGTGGCGCCAGAACTAAAACGGTTGTGGATGATGACACTCCACACCCAGGATTTGGCGATTGGGTCCCCTAAAAAACTCAGTCGCTCTTTAAAAGGGGGAGTATATAAGATATTTCTCCCGCGTCCTAGCGTACTTGGTGGTGTAGTCGTTCTGCGCACTGGGCCGGTATTCCAGAGGCCCATGGTTCAATTCCCGGCGAAGGGGTTTGCTAATTTTTCATCTTGCCTGCTTCCAAAAAAATACCTAATATCTCTACACATTCATAGACCACAGCAATGGAATGTTTTCAGACGTCTGTATTTGTCTGCAATAAAATTACAATAAAGTTGAAAGAAGATATCTTCAAGGATCTTCAAAAAGACCCCGCCAAATTGAGAACAGCGAAATAAATCACACATCCAGCAAAATTACTAATTAAGGAAAGATACTTACCTTCGCCGAAAGAGCATTTAATCCAGTTTGGTTAACGGTGATGACTTCCGACGAGAGTAAATTCACGCTAATTCGTTGCATCCAGTTTGAAGGAAAACCAAGAAAAACTTTCACGAAGATGTGTCAGGTCATTGTAAATCAAGAGGGTTGAAATAAATGTCTTAGAGCTATAATATAGATAAGATAAGTACATATCTTATGTTGTGATTTAGAGATATGAAAAACGCAGTTTGAATATTGTATGTTATGATTTCGAGATATGAAAAAAGCAGTTTGAATATTGTCAATCGGCCAAGAAATCTAGAACTGTATCCCCTCCTTTTCTTTTTTTCCGACCTGGTGTACCTGTATGCTTTGCTTATTTTAAGTAATTAAATAGTATGTTTACTTTAGATATATTATATGTATATATATATATATATATTTGTAATAATAAAATTCCCTAGTCAAGAATACACTTAAAATTCTAACTGTATGTTCTTTTCATTTTTAATGGCGATGGTCTCTTATTTGAAATACGTGGAATTAAATCCACAGCCCCGTAGTCAAGTTGTTTTTCAAGCCTTTTCTACACGTACAGTTATAGAATGTTCTGGAAATATTTAAAGCGAACTGGATAGGCTGACGGCATTTCTTGGAAGCTCCGCCTTTCCAGAGGCTACAAAAGGACTCGCAAAAGAATATCGGGGGCTTTCCTTAAATGTCACGATGCAGTAAACTTTATGCAAAATGTTATTAGTACTTCTTTTTTATTTACTCCGCATATCTGATTTTGTAACTGCTATTTCTCCTGACCAATAATAAAGGGATCCTGTTTTTTAAACTTATCGTCTGATAACTTAACTATTATTTATGACTACATTTATGATTCTTCAACAATCTATTTATTCCTAACAAAAGCTGGTACATCACATATATATAATCAAGATATGTATATATATGTATATATTTACTTTAAAATATGCTCTTTATCTTTCAGGTGAAAGTGATGTTGAGAATCAAAGGTGATTCTGGGGAGCTTAATTCATCTTTCTTAAATGTGGATGCTCGAAAGAAACAAGTTACAGTATATGACCTTTCCTCGGGTGGTGGCCAATCTTCACCTGCAGAAAGGAGAGCTGGCGTCTCTGCGCCTAAAATGTTCGCTTTCGATGCCATTTTTTCGCCTGACGACACTCAGGTAAGAACTTTTAACACACTGAAAAAAATCATGAAATACTAAATTCCATTCGTCATATACGATAATAACTGGGAGGCATATACGGTAATAAGGTTACATCTAAGGGCCGGATACGTTTGCCGTTACATATAGGGACCAATTATTGTTATTTAATTACAAGATGAATTAGTTTTACAAGCACCGGACCGAAATGTTGTAAAATAGTCGGCAGGTCTTGGCGACTTTTGACAATATTTCACCAAAAATTAATCGACAAATCCATCTGTAACTTAGCGATAGATCGCCAACTTAGCGAGATAGCCATTTACTGAATATTAAATAGACTTGCCCCCTGTAGTCTTATTTTTCCGGCAGAGCTTCGTCTCTAAAGTACACTCATGTCCATAAATTAAGGATAATTCGGAGTCACGCGGAAATCGAACTCTTAAAATAAATAGATCACCTGTAAAATCACTACACACACATCTTCAAGAATCATATGCAAATTTCAGGAAGTAACCAGATGACACCGATGGAACGTTACAATGACGAGAGTGTAAGAGAGTGATATATAAGGAATACAGGCAAAGAAATAAAATTGTTCGTAGGCGCTTTATAAGCATTTCAGTGCAATAACCGAATAGTTATGACACAAAGGACGCATTTGGATGATTTTTTACGTGGTAGAATTATCGGCCGTCTGGAATGTGGGCGTACCCAACTGGAAATATCAGACGAACTTGGAATTGCCCAGAGTGTCATCTCCATGCGTTGGCAACGATTCGAAGATGATGGTACTGTGAGTAGACGTTACAGCACAGGTTAAACGCCGAATGAGGACCGGTATTTGGCAGTTACTGCCAAAAGAAATAGGAGGAGCACAGCCTCAGACCTGTCTCGTCAGCTCTCTTCAGCCACTGGTACGACAATTTCAAGGCAGACCGTCTACAGACGCTTAGGGCAGATTGGTCTATATGCTCGTAGACCTGTCAGATGCGTTCCACTTACTGCAACTCACTGTCGCCTGCGGTTAGCCTGGAGTAGAGAGCATTCATTGTGGACACCGCAACAGTGGGCTTGTGTGATGTTTTCCGACGAGTCCACGTTTAGCTTGCAGTCTGATTGTCGCCGGACTTTCATATGGAGAGCTCCAGGTACCCGTTACCATCAAGAAAACATCATTGAACGACATCGTTACGGTGGTGCAGGAGTGCTCGTTTGGGGTGGAATTATTCTGGGTTCCAGAACTGACCTGCATGTTCAAATTGGAACCATGACAAGCCAAATCTATCGGGACGTCATTCTGGAACAACATGTATGTTTGTTTCGGGGCGGCATGGGCGCACAATTTGTGTTTATGGATGACAACGCCCGTCCTCACCGTGCAAACATCGTAAGCGAATGCCTTCAATCGGAGGATATCACCCGTATGGACTTGGCCAGCATTCTCACCGGACTTGAATCCAGTAGAGCACGTGTGGGACATGCTTGGGCGACGAGTTGCAGCCCGTCAACCTCCTCCTACATGTCTACCGGAACTTCGGAGAGCATTGCATTTTGAGTGGTGTAATATCCCCCAAGATCAGATCGATAATTTGATACTCAGCATGCCTATTCGTTGTACGGACTGTATTGCATCGTCTGGGAGACATACAATGTATTAACAATCATACCAACCATGTAATATATTTTTTTTTTTGGTAATTTGCTCCAGGGAGAAAAAATAGCTAATTTTTTTAATAATATCAAACATATAGCAACTTTTTTTGCTCTTTACCTTTTGTTTAATAAATAAGCTTTACGAATAAGTCAAATTTGTTTTGCTTCTAACTCTTCCTTCGCCTGATTTTGCATTATCCTTAATTTATGGACATGAGTGTATTTGATGTTGCATTATGCAAAAAAAAAATGCACATGTAAGTTCACTAAAATTATTTGCATATGTGCAAAATTCCTAACAACATTTAGAAAATTAAAGCCCGAAGCCAGATTTTCGAACATATTTACATGTTTTTTTTTTTTATTTCAAAATGTCCATATTTTTTCATGTATTAAAATTTTAGTCAAAAATATTCGAAATTCCTTTCATATCAGTATTATATATTCAACATGCATTTGCTTACCCAAAACCTATTCTATGACTATTTTAATATAGAAATATGAAAGGTAGCAAGAAAATGTTTCGAAATATTCTTGAAATATTGAAATGCTGGATGGATTTGTCATACATATTATAAAATGTATTCAAGCTGACAGTTTTCTAGAAAATAAAATAAACGATAAATATAAATAAAACGCGATCGCATCAGTTCATGCTGAAAGGTACCATAGTTTCCTAGACAAAATTTTAGATACAGACTTCGTCCTCCGTTCTATGTGAAGTGATATTGATATGTTTTTGTATACATGTACTAGAACAAGCAGAAAACATGAAAACGGGTCAGAAGGGAAATAATGCGCTCTGAAAGTTGAAACATTCACATACGCTGAACTTTTAAATGTAAATTATAAAATAAAACTAGATATGAATACTAGAAGACATGAATTTTTCTCAGAAAACTTTTCACTCTTTCTCAGAAAATATATTTCTGTAAAATCTAATTATTTACTGTAAAATGTGATGTATTTTTCAATTTTTATAACATATATATCTAAAAATATTTCATTTTAATAGCAATTTTTTCAATCGGAAACCTCCTTATACTTTTTATTTCTTCTGAGAAAATTTTTACCGTGACGTTTAAAATTATTTGCAGTAACATTTTTCATGCCATTTTCTTTTCATTCAATAAACTGGGAAGGGGAATCAAATGAAAACCTTTAAGTTGCAGCAAAATTCAGAAAAGGTCTTATACACTCTTAGACAAAAACAAAAAAAACGACGTACCACGACGCACCGAGAAGATATAAAGCAAATTGGACACAAATTGATATACATAAAGGTTTCGACAGAAAATGCAAAATTTTACATTTTGGCTGCCAACGAATGAACGGTTATCACTACAGCGCATCTGATCTGCGCAAATGGCAGGATATTTAAAAGGAGAAAATACGATTCCAGGTCATAGATTCTTCATGAATTTCATTCCGTGTACTCTGGTAGACAGAAACTATGCCTCGCATACAAGTGCGCGAACAATATGCGCAGATATCAGAATTTGAGAGAGGTCGTGTAGTGGACTCAAAGAAGCCGGTTGATCTTATCGGCGAATAGCTCGACATTTGAGCAGAAGCAATGCCACTATTAGACGATGTTGGCAGGAATGGGTGAACCATGGCAAAACACAGCGTCAAGAAGGAAGCGGTAGGCTTACAGAAACAACAGAACGTGGAGACCGAGCAATCATCAGAGCGGCACTCACAGCCCCAGATCATATCATTATCATGGATTGTACGTGATCCATGATCACATCATTATCATGGATTGTACGTGCAAGTAGTGCTTCAGTGACTGCAAGGACCATTCATAGACGGCTCACAGAAAGGGGGCTGAGGTCACGGCGCCCCTTGCCCTTGACTACCATTGACCTGTACAACGTCAAACCCGTTTGCAGTGGTGTCGGGCTCATTCGTACTGGAATGTCACTGACTGGAGTAGAATAGTCGTCAGTGATGAGTCCCGTTTTGAACTGAACCCCGATGACTACATAAGGCGAGTCTGGAAACGCCCCGGACAGCGGTGTGATACCAACCTGACTGTCTTCCGACAACCAAGAGTGATGGTCTGGGGTGCCATTTCATTTCATAGCAGGACCCCTTTGGTTGTCATTCGTCGCAACCTTACAGCACAGCGGTACGTTGACGAAATTCTAAGGCCCGTTGTGTTGCCCTTCATGTCACGCCACCCTGGGCTTACATTTCAGCAAGATAACGCCCGCCCCCACACTGCACATGTTTCTACTGCTTGCCGAACATTACCTTGGCCAGCATGGTCGCCGAATCTCTCTCCTATTGAGCATGTTTGCAGCATTATGGGCAGGGCCCTCCAACCAGCTCGGATTGTTGAGGCACACAACCAACTATTTGTAACTTGAGGAAACATCACTGAAGAACTGATTTTGTTTAATTGATTACGGGAAAGCATACTAGAGCTACCTGCTTAAGGGAAGGGATGCCTTCACGGAGGAGTTTCTAAGGGAAACTGGCTCTTATAGCTTTACACCTGGGGAAAACCACGAAAACGCATGTGTAACATTTTTCTCCATGTGTAACATGGATACAAGCCATTTTCTGTTACAAAAATCCTCCACAGGCATTCCTTCCTGTCCTTATAGTGTGGCTTGGTATAAAGCCGGACAGGGCTGCAGGGATTCCTCCCGCTCAGACGGGGCCTCTAGACCTCGGATATGATTAACCCCAAGAGGTGGACCCAGGACGGGGCTCCGAGGCTCTGATGCTTTGTCCTTGTAGTGTCTAATGGCGGAGCAAGTGATAAATAATAACATAATATCTCACACATCCACCTTATGCATCATACATTGCCTCCTTCAGTGAATTGCACGTATTCTTAAGGCTAAAAGAAGCTGTAAGCAAGCATTTCCAAACCGCTGCCCGAGAGTGAAATTCTTCTCACGGGGTATTTATGAACTTCTGAAGTGTTGGAATAGGTACACTGAAGATTGTTATGTCAAAAAAGGTTTGTACTTGTAATTTTTGTAATTTAAAAAAATAATTACGATTTTTTTCATTTATTTCATAATAAAGAAATGAGTTTTCCATTAGAGTCATCGCACATATAATATATGTATATACTGCAGACGTCTATTGACGTAATCCAGGTTAATGTTATCAATCGGATATTGTTAATATTCTAAGTACCGGAGTTTTCGGATATTGCATAACAATGGAAAATATATTGTTTATGTTATGTTAATTGGTAATTCCATTAAAATAATCATAGAATACTTTTTTTAACTGAATTAAAGTCCTCAAATAAGAGATAAATATCTCCAAATAAGTTAAAAATAGATTATAAAAATTGCAAAGATTTAGAAAAATATGGCTAAGTAAGGAATATGTCACCAAACAACTTGGTTTTGATTTTAATCAACCATTTAAAATCAAGCAAAAATAAAATTTGACTTAGATTTTAAGTAGCTCTATCGATTTTGAGCTTTGGACAAACTTCCTTCTTCTTCAGAAACAAAAAATATTCTGCAGAATGAAATGTTCCCCCCCCTTCTCTCTTAAAAAAAAAAAAAGAAAGAAAGAAAAGAAAATCCCCCTGAAAACATCTACGCCAAACTTCGATTGCTTTTTTGCCTAATTTTAAATTTAACGCTGGCATATTCTCTTCCACTGAATGAGGGATGCCCTCCGAATATTAAGATTAGGTGTATAGCATGGGTCAAATAATTTCTAAAATTGTTATGAACTATTGCATTAAAGACATTATGAACATTTCGTAAACAAACTTTCATTTTCCTGTGAAAGTACTTAATTGTATGTTTCTTATTATACTCGTATTTATATTTATATTTAATTATTCGAATTCGATTGCTGCTTTGAAGGATATTCTTCTCATAGTTTAATGTAATCATTTGGCAAATATTATCAAAATAACCGTGGGCAACGTAATCGCATTAAACAACTCCCACTGTATGTACATTGTTCTCGAAATTTCGTTTAAATGAAGATTTTTTCAACTTTATTATTACATATAATATGGCATTCTTAATTGTCAAATCTTTTTATTAATATCTTTTGTTTACTTGCTGTATTTTTTTGCTTTCAATTTAGTGTGCATATAAGAAAACTTTTAACAGCAATACACCACATAATGCATGAGCATAAAATATGGTATGCGTTTCCTTTGCCTTTTTAAAGCATAAAATTATATTGAAATTATTGTTGAAAAAGATTACTTCACAAGCAATGGTTAACCCTTAATGTTACATTTTCCATTTAATGTTAAGGCCCACTCATGGTTTGGTTTGGTTGGTTTATTTAATTATGGCAAAGCACACTAGGGCTATCTGGCTAAGGGGAGGGATGCCTTCGAGGAGGACTTTCTAAGGGAAACTAGCTCGTATACACGTTACACATGGAGAAAACCACAAAAACACCCATCCAGCCAGCCCATTCGTGGGATTCGAATCTCGGACCGAACTACCAGTGTTCAGCGACTTTACCGCTCGGCCGCTGGTGGGCTAAGGCCCACTTGTGAGCGAGCAGATAGTAGTTCACTATTAGCTAGTAGTTCTTGAGCACTAGTAGTTCGATCGAGTTCAGAACCGACAAATGGGCTGGCTGCATTTTCGGTTTCTCTCATGAGGAGTAAACGGAAATGTCACTCAGTGTCTCTTAGGAAGACCTCCATGAATGTATCATACCCTTTAGGCAATGAACCCTCGTATTATACGTCTGTTTCGTATTATACTGATATTAATTCCAGTGATAAAAATTCCCACTCAGAGCTTTCAGATTAAATTTTTTTAATCATAATTATGCAAAAATCAGTTGTAGCACATTTCAGAATTCATTTCTTGTACGACATATAAAATCATATATTTCATTGCTATACTGAGTGAGGTTTTCAGTTTCTTATTATTTGCTTCAGAGTTTTTATTTTTTTTCTGTGACCTTTTTCTAATACTTTATACCGTTCTGATCCTTATTTTCGCACCCGAACAGAAACATTGCTAAATATTAAAACAAATTTGGTATGAACATTGCAAACCATAAATTTTCATACGTCGTTCTTTATCCCCACAGGCTGAAGTGTGTTCTAGTTCCTTACCAGAAGTCATTCAAGCTGTTGTCGGAGGTACTGATGGATGCCTTTTCGTTTATGGCCATTCCAAACTTGGTAAGTTTTTTTAATAAATTAAATAATTCTATCTCGTCTTATCTCTTTAAAGAATTTCCGTCCATATGACTAATTCCCTTCAGGAAAAGAAGAATCAATTGTGCAATATATCTGTATGACTGGAAAAGAAAGCATTTTTAAAAGTACATGAAATAAGTTTGAAGAAAAGAATTGCAGTGAACACTGTAATGGGGACCACTTTCCTAGAATGCCCAATTCTGAGAGGGATCAGTTATTCTGAGAACGAAAGTAAACATACGTATTTAATATTACCTCCCTAAAGGGAATTTACAGAAGATCCTAATTCCCTGAAAATGTTAGCAGTAGTTTTAGAAAGGGTTCACTGTAACTCAAAGTTAAAATCGTTACCAAAATGTTGCCAGGATTGTTCGGAAAGCAAATTCCGTTATTGTGTAATAACGATTTACTAACATTCCACTACTTTTCGACGCGGTCATCCAGCACATTAAGGTATTTATCATATTGAGAAACAAGGTTTAGTATGCCAGTATGATAGAAGGTGACTGCCTGAAGTTTAACAAGGATGTTCAGCATATTTCGTTTCCTCATCGTCATCAAAACGCCGGTTGCTCAATAATCGTTTCTAGTGCATGAATAGGTAAAAGTCACTAGGCGCTAGGTCAGAGCTCTACACGGCGAATGATTCATGTGTTGCCAATTGAAGGACTTGATAAGGTCTTGAGTCACACGAAAGAAATGTGTCCTGGCCATGTCGTGAAATAAAATATCACTACCACTAAGCAGGACACGTCTCTTAATAGCACGTCGCAGATTTTTCAATGTTGCACCTTACGCAGCGGAGTTGAGGTTTTGTTCCTGGATGTGAAATCCACCAATATGACACCTTTTCTATCCCAGAAATCGATGCACATGATTTTGCATGTGGAAATGGTCCGTTTCAACTTCTCTGGGTGCTTTCATTCCATTTATTGTTATTTCGTTGATGGCAGGACATGGGAAATCCAAGTTTCATAGCCAGTGATAATGTGGTTCAACAGCTCGACGTTGCATCGGCTCGGAAAGGTCAGAGCCGTTTACCTTTACGCTCCTGAATAAACATTTTCGGTACACATTCTGCTGAGACTTTTCGATAACTCAGGCGTTCAGTAACAGTTTCATACGGAACGGTACGCGAAACTTCAGGAAAACCAGCGAAAAGTTGGAGATCGTGAAACATTTATTTGCACAAATTTTCGCATCATTTCAAACGAACCAGTCATCGTTCATCGCGAATGGCAGGGTGCTTCTCGGTTTATCGCGCATGCTCATTCTGCCTGAATTGTACTTGAACCGATCTTCTAATCATCCTGTCACTCATAGCTGTATCGCAGTAAACCTCACAGATTTTCTTATAGATTTCTGTTCGTTGCATAATCCTTGTATTCAAAAATAAAATTACCGAACGAATGTCACAGTCGGTGAAATCTTCTATAGTCTTCAGGGCAAGTCTTACAAGTGTCTGCGTTTCACCATTTCAACATATGAGCTTTTATGATGCAATCTTTAGTACTGAAGAGCGATACAGCATAGGCAGATTAGCGCCACCTGTTGGATGCAGAAATTATTATATTTCGGAATTTACGAATAACCCTGTATTTTCTAAATCCTTCTTAGTTACGAATTGTCTTTTCAGCGTTTCATTCTTTTACTGACTGTAATTTTTAATACTAGTCGTTTGCGCTGCCACCTACGAAAAATATTTATGATAAAAAGAAAAAATACGTAATTATTTTAATGAATACAGCTAATGTATTTTCACGGATTCACTAGTAATTAATAATAACTGACATGAATATGCGTCTATTTCTTTTAAATATCTTAGTTTGAATTATTAACAGAATGAATTTCAAATAAAAATTAAATACTATCTTACGCTTTGTTGAATGACAACACACTGCCGGGTGGGGGATAAAAATATTTTAATTCAAGAAGTCGAAAAATATTTCTGTCAGATCGCTGAGTTTTTTTATTAAGTTCGAAAGGCCAATGTTTTGAGGTTTCCCGAATGGCAACATACTTTAGTTACGTCGCTGGCTTTTCTGATTAAATCTGAAATATAAATATCTTACACCTTTACTTTACCTACTGCCAACACAAAGATTTTATATAGGTGTTCCCTAAATTTGCGCAAAATGTGAAATAAATACAAAAACATCTGAAATTCTTCTTGAGGTGCACATGTTCGGGTGGAGGACTGCGCGTGTTCAATATTTGGTGGCTTCCAGGGAGAAACTTACAAACATACATACATATTCTTCATTATTTAATAATAGTGATTTATTCAAATTCTGTAATATTAGAGGAACGAAAATTTCTCAGCAAGTGGTATTTTCAGTGAGCTTTTAGTATTCAAAACCACACAAATTTCAGACGATGACACACAACTGGTAATTTTTGTTATTACTCGATATTACTCATATAAATGTCGTTTCATAGTAATTAGATGGTATTGCATAACTTTGTGTTTAACAATTTTCATTTATTTCCCTGCACTGGAGTCGAGAATTTCCATAAATTTCTTCCATTAGCTCTGTAATCTCTTTATCTCTATTCGACATGTTCATTTACCAGAGACAGACTTCATGCGTAGAATCTACGAACTGATCAGTCAGTGTAAGGGCGTAGAATCTACGAACTGATCAGTCAGTGTAAGGGGGGCATTTGGACTTTTTTTTTAATCTGTATGAAGTAAGAACATGTAGTTGTGGCAGTGTATATTTTCGGAAATATTCCAATGGAAGGCATTGTATATAAATGCTAAAAAGTGGTCACCTTCTTTCTGGTAATCCAGCATTACATTTTTGCTCATATCTTAACCCTCTGAGCGTCCAGGGTTTTCGCTGAGAAAGCACTAATTTCCCAAAACTACTATGAGAACAAATTATTTTTTTATTTTAATGTAAAAACTCTCCTGGTATTTCATACTTGGATTTGTTTACTTTTGATATATTGCCTTAATTTCTTCGACATATTTTAATATGCACGTATATATACGTTCTTACAGATATCACAAAAAATGTTCGAGGCCGTATATATACGTCCTTGCCTATATATACGGCCTTGCCGCTTAGAGGGTTTTAATTAGCTGCGTGTTACTGATATTGATTCCAGTGGAAATGTTTGCTTTCAGTTATTGGATAACTAATGCAGTTCTCCATAACAAAAAGCTCATTTGCGAAAAGTTAGAGTACAATAGATATCACGAGGGTGGAAAGTAATTTTTAAAAACCATCTAGAGAAATCAACAGTATCCTCCTCAAGACTGGGATTCCGGCTATTCTGGTGCTATTGTTTGTTAAGTTCAAGGTTATTCTCTGCTCTCCGATTTGATTCGTAAGCATGAGAACAACAACTGCAGGAAAAAGGTCGAATCGCTTAATTTTTCCCCACTTCATTTTCTTTTAGCATGTTTCGCTTTGAGAAAATCGAGCGAAGGAAGGCTGGTTTGAACTATAGCCTTGAATTATACGACTGCGAATAAGCACCTAGTAATGGCCTTGAAGCACTTGTTTTATAGTAATACATAACAGCCGGACATGCTTCCAATTACGCCACGAAAGCATACAGTAAGGTTGAAGAGCACTTTCACCCACGTAAAGGGAAGGCACGAGCCTAATCGCCAGATCCTGGTGGTGACAAATTATTGTCTACCACATTTTAATCAGGCGCCATCGTAGTCATTTAATATTTTGCCAAACCTGGAAACCGAAGATATCCGCAATATCTTTCCATGATTCTAACTCCTGACCTTCCGACTGCTAGCCGGATGTGCTTTCAAGTACACCACGAAGACACGAAATAAGGTGGGGAAAAACAACCTTACAAGCTTACCTCTTGGACTGTGTATAACCTGATTTGACAATAAATCTGATTTTAAGAACCTGATTTGGTTCTGAGAAGTCAGCTGTCTAAGAAGTAGCAAATATCAATATTGTCAGCTTCGAATACCTTAACTGTCGCCTTGGGAATGGTCACCTCTGAAATGTTTTCCTGTGTAATACACTTTGGTTTATTTTTTTCCCTTTAAAGCATTGCAATGAAACAACATATTGATAATGTGTATATTTGTAAATACGCCTTCTGTATCAAAATGACTGTCTTATCTGCATAAATTATTCTTATCCAAATGATTGCTCCGTTTTAAGAAATGATACTTTTTCCTGCTGTGTCACTAATTTCAAGTCGTGAATATAATTATTAACTACGGTACAACTATATGAGTATAATAAGCATTTTTTAACTTTTATTTTATCTATATTATATGTTATTTAATATTTTTTAATTATTTACTGCTTTGTGCACCTCATTAATGGGTTCTCTGGCATAAATAATGAATTCTTGCAGCATGTTTTGGGATCAAAACACTGCCTTTTTCATGTTTTCTTATTTTGCAGTTCAGGTTTTATGATTCTTGAAAGATGCTCCAGTGGGCGTTCTTTTATATTCTCTACATCACTGCCAGTCTTCTATTGCAGCAGTAATGATTTTTAATAAAGTATGTTTTCGAAGCGGTACCTTTCTGATACTATTTTCCAAAATCCCCTCACATCCTTTGCAGGAGCTGCCACTATGCCCCTTTATTTTTGCCTCAATATTAACAGTTTCTTCTCTGTTATAGCAATATTTGGCTGGCTGCCATGTCCTATAACAAGTTTTGGCCGATGCTGCCATGTCCTAGAAGAAATTTTGGCCGATGCTGCCATGTCCTAGAAGAAGTTTTGGCCGATGCTGCCATGTCCTAGAAGAAATTTTGGCCGATGCTGCCATGTCCTAGAACAAGTTTTGGCCGATGCTGCCATGTCCTAGAAGAAGTTTTGGCCGACATGTCGCGTTTCTTACCGATAACCGCAACAACAACCTGCTTAGGTCCTCCATTTTTAAAGTTTCTCAATAGCTCCTATGTAGGGTTGCATTTCTCTGTTCATACTTCAAACTTTGTTTCGTTCTTGTAGCCCCTATAAGAAAGAATGAAAAAAAAT